GCGGGCAGAAAGAGGAGGGGGAGGCAGAGAAGGACGAGGCGGGAAGGGCCTGGGAGCGGTGGTTGGGGTGGGTGTCCCGGCGAGGTGCCTAATCCGGCGGCTTGTTCCTCTCCCTGCCAGGTTGTCTATCAAGTTCCTCTAAGGGAAAATCATGTCTTGAAGAGAAATGTGGGTCAACAGCTAAGGATTAAGATTATATATGACAGAAGCGTTGAGGAGTGAGTATGATGTGGCAACTTTTTTGTTTTTTCTCCATATCCGGGAATGGAAATGTTATTAACTAAAGCTTGTTTGTTTTTCTTTTGTTTTTTAAATATAGTTTGCTACCTGAGAAAAGGCACCTTATAAAGGTATGTCGTGTTAGCTTCTACTTTTTGTTTGTACTTATCTTATTACATGGGTGAAATTAAGTTTAATGCCAGTTTAATTAAAGGCTTTGAATACCAGCAATTTCATGTGCTCTAGTCTGGGAAACCAAGGCTTTGTGTGCAGATTATGCCTCCGGACCAGGTATTTCCAGTGTTCTGTTGAGTGTTGTTTGGCGGGTGTTTGCTATATCCCAAGGTGCAAAGCTTTCAGTGAACAGTATGTATATAGCTTTTAAAGACTCTTTGAAGCTGTACATTCAAATTAATACTGGCTCCCTTCTCGTTTTATCATTCCAATAACAAAATATGGGAACACTGGAACAAAATATTTCCTAAATGTATTAATAGAAATGGAACTTAGAAAGTGTGGGTTTCTGGTATGCTGCTGTACCACAACGCCTGGCAAGTTTCATGTAGTTTGGTAGTTGACGCTTTTAAGGCGGGTCATGTCTGCACTGCTACTGGGTGACTTATTTTTGTTCCATTTAGAACAAACTTTTTCCACAAGCTATATCTTATTTGGAGAAGACATTTCAAGTGCGCAAACCCACGGGTACTATATTACTAAGCAGGTATGTGAAAGTTTGTTGAATGTCGCTTGTTTATTGAAAATAATTTGATATTTAACATTGTGTTGTGTAGCCTTTAAAGTCAGAATAGAATGAGAGTGTAAGAAATGCCCTCCTGAGTCAGGCCAGTGACCCATCTGACCCAGTGGTGGTAGCGGGTGCTATTTAGGGAGCATACCCCAGTCTGCCAGCCTTGATGTTTGTTGTATCTGAGATGTTAAAGGGTATGAATGCTGCCTGTTCCCTTTTGTGTGTACCTCCATTTATGAGCTTGTTCCTAATATCTCTTTAAACCTGTGGATACGCCATTAACAACTGGAAGCATTAAGTCTTCCAGAGCAGGATAACTAACAATTCTCACCATGGAAGCTACGTTAAATACCTGTATACAGTGTTGTTGGGTGCTGTAAGACTATTCTACAGTTTCTTTTTAATAATAAAACAGTGCTGACTGTCTTTCATGTTTGACTGAAGGCAGTGTGCAACAAACCAGTATTTAAGGAGGAAAGCTGACCCTCACAGATGCTGCCGAGGAGCCTGCTCAGACCATACAAAATGTGGGCCAGTTATCGTTCCTGAGGAACACCTCCAGGTAAGCCAAGTCATGCAAGTGCTTCTTCACCTTTGAAATGTTACTGTTTGTGGAAACTAATTAAGTTAATGTCACTAACTGTGCATAAGTGACCAGTTGGCAGGAGATGACTAAATTTGAGTGACAGAATAGAACAACTTGAGTTAGTGGGAGTTTCTTTACTCTATGCTGTTGAACCGAAAGTCAAATAAATCTGGAGTGTTTACTGTTCTGTAAGCCTGTGTTATCGTGAACTGTGCAGAGAGGATGAGATTCAAAGCCTGTTAAATTGCTACTGGTCACTTCATTATTCACTTGGGTCAATAAGTCAGACTTCCACAGAATTAGTAATAAGTTTTGATTTTTTTTCTTTTTTTTTTTTTTTTTTAAAAGACCTTACTTGAAGGTGTTATCTACTGAACCAGGAGCACAGTGCAGGAGATACTTCTAACTTGTTTTCTTGCCTTAACTTTTGATTCAACTACACTGTGTGATCAGTAGATTTCTTTATTTCTCTTAGCTTGAAGTTTCAACTACAGTACTAATAATGTATGAGGTTACATGTGAAATGCAATTGATAAGTATCTATACTATTCCTGTGAGCCAAAAAATTTTTTACTTTGTAGGAAATAGAGTGTTAGTTTGGGGATATCTAGCTTGGCAAGCACTTTTTTTTCGAAAGCTGCCACTTTCCTGGTGTCTAATAAATCAAAAGAGCTAGTCACTTGGCAGTTATTCCTTGGTTCTGGTTTTATTTACTGTCATCATAGGGAGTTTTCTCATCTTCTGCTGTCTTACAGTGGGGTTTATTCTTGCCTTCAAGCTGATTGAATTCTCTTATGCAAAATTTTGGTCGTAGCTAAACTATTTTAATTGTTCTGTTTGAACATTGTCAAAGCAATGTAGGGTGTTCAATGAGAGCGAATGGCACTGCGGACCCACTGGCTTACCTGACCAAGAAGGGGTCCGAGATGCTGACTTTTTACTTTACGTTAGCGCACTCACCACTGAGAGGTGTGGCCATGAAAACATCATTGCGTATGCAGCCTACTGCCAGCTGGAAGCGGAAATGGACAGGCGAGTATTCCCTCTGTTACAAACTCGTGGGTTGTTTTGTGGTTTTTTTTTTTAAGTAAACCTTCAAGTTTTTAATTGTTTAGTTGTGGTGTTTAATTGTTGTATAATACAGCAAAGTAGAAGTCATTATTGAAACAGACAACCACTGTATTTGTGTAAAACCAGAGAACTGTCAAATAGTGCTCAGCTTGCAAAGCTGAGGCATTTAAGTCAAAGCTAATCCTCCACTGTTATTGCCTGAACTTTATCTCAAGATCCTGTTTCTGTTGAAGTGAACATCGTGCTTTCACAAATTTAAAGGAGAAAATGAATGAGCCCTATTTACATGGCGGTTGTTTCCAGTTTGGTTGTAGCCATTGCCACAGATGCTTTGTACCTCTGTAGTGTCTTACCTGACACTCAGATCTCTTACGCTGTTGGCACTAACCTATGCAGAATCCTGAGCATAGAGATTGATCCCACCCTATCCCTCCCCATTTCAACAGTGAACTGGTCACTGTATTGTTAACAGACTGTTTATAAATGATTGGGGAAGTTGTTTGGAAGGACTTATTTTTTAAATTCCTCTCCATTTTCTTTTAAGTCTTCTGCCTCTTCAAGTGAATATGATTTGAATTTGTTAGTATTTTACTAGAAACAATTTAATTTTAAAACTCTCTTCCAGGCCAATAGCAGGATATGCTAACTTGTGTCCAAACATGATCTCAACGCAAGCTCAGGAATTTGTTGGCATGTTGTCTACAGTGAAACACGAGATCATCCATGCGCTGGTAAGGGCTGATGTTATAAAATCGGTTTCCCTGACGTTTGTGCCTGCTTCCTCACATACCTGCAGCTTGTTGCAAGAGAAGGATGTTTGGTGGAGGAAAACTCTCGCTTTGCCTCCTTTAAATTTGTGTGTTAGTTGCCTTGAAGCGTGGTACTTGCAGTGTATCTGCGGTGGGTGTGATAACTCTTTCTTGGCATTTTACTTGGTATGTGAATGTCTTACCAAAGGTTTCCCTGTGCTTGGGTTTTAAATTCAAGGGTTTCTCTGCTGGACTGTTTGCGTTTTACCGTGATGATGACGGAAAACCTTTGACAACAAGATATGCAGATGGACTCCCTTCTTTTAATGAAAGGTATCTTATTTTTTTGGACCTTTCGGTGCTCCAACTGAAGGAAATTTTCACGTTGCCTTTTTGGGATGTATTCTTGCCTGTTGAAAATCCAGCTTGATTCCATTATTAGAATGCTTTGCCCTTATTATATTCAAACACTGGTGTTTTATTAGTCTTTCTTTACATTGGCATTAAGCACTGATATTATCCATGTGTATTACAGACTAAGGCAGGATTTTATTTATCAAGAGGCTTGAAGTTAAGTGTTAATACTTAAATTTCGATGCTTGCCGAACACCTTACTAAGTTGAGACTTGTATTTTCTCTAGTCTGTGTAATGTCAGGGCAGTTCGCTTTTAAGACAGACATCCTTCAAGGTTTATAGTTGTGCAGAACTGACAATGTGTATAGTTTGCTGCGTGATTTTTGTGGCTTGTTATTGAATGAACAGTTTGCACTTTTTTCTTCGTTTAGTTAATATTGTGGAAATGTTCTTCTAGGGTTTTTTTGGAGGTGGAAAGGTAGAGAGCTTTTGGTTTAGTTCACCTTCCTTTTTGTAAGAGCAATTCTGAGGATTTTTGTTTAATTTCTTACACTTTTGGTAACTGTAGAAAATAGCTCTTGAGTCTACAACATCTGTTTAATAATCTTACTTTGGCTTATTAAATCAGAGTTGTGTATAACGTGTATCTTGCAAAGGAAAAATTGTGCATAATAAATTTAAACTTCAGAAAGCATGAAGAAGCGTAGAGATAATTCATGATTCTGTTTTACGGAGATAAATCTTTGCACAGTAACATGTACACATGGGAAAGACTTGTAACCAAAACATTCTTGTTACAGTCTAGGTTTGTATCAGTGGAGCAATAAAGTCGTTCATAAAGCAGTGAGGTTATGGGACGTACGTGGTGGCCAAATCCTGCGCCATGCTGTTCATCTTCTGATAACACCTCGGGTAGTTGTAAGTGTGGATTAACTTAAACTTTGTATGCCAAGGTTACCATCACAGTCTCCAGTCGTAAATATTTCTCATTCTTTAAGAAGCAATAACCTTACATTGCATACCCTTCTCCTGATAGTGGGGCCCAGAGACTACGCGTTTAAGACTGTAGAATTAGTTGAGAGGGTGTATGCAAAGTAAAGTGGAAAATGGTTGACAGACAGTATGAAATAAATAAATTGACATACTAAGAGACAGTGATCAGGCTGGGAAGTAAATTGTAAAAGATTGAGCAAAACTCATGTTGAGTAGATTCCTTATCCTACTCTTCAGATGTTTTCCTACAGACTTAGGCACCTAGTATTCCCATTGCCTTAACAGATAGTATTGTCACTGCTTCTCATCTGTAAGTTCATCCTGTTTTCTACTTTTCTCCTTAAAAGCATTGTTTTAATCTTTTTCTTATTTTATTGATTGCAAAATAGTGCAGTTAACATTTAGTCAAGTTTAGAAATAAATTCTTCAGTTATTCTTGGAAATCTTTCTTGCTTCCCACACCTCTGACTCTCCCCCCTGCCCCCAACAGAACATATGTTTAACTGTAATACATTTGTATTAACAGTGTTAATCATATTTGGCCACAAATAATCTTTTTGTTTGTTTTAAATCTAACACAGTTTATAGAGCAAACTTGGTTTAATTACCCCTGTTTTGAAAATTGGCCGTGCTGGTCAAACCATTCAGAGCATTAAAGGTGCTGCTGTGTAGTGCTGCGCTGGCAAAGGCTGGGCTCCTGCCTGCGAGACCGCAGCGTTGTGGTGATGCCTCTTAAGATTTTAAAACACTTTGCAGAAAAGACTGCCTCCTGCAAAACTAGGTGACACGTACACCTTCCTAATAAAAAAGGGTTTTTTCTCTGCAAGATTTGACAGAAGCAGGTTTGTAATGTTCCTACATTGCTTGGGTGTGTGTTTGGGGTTTTTTTAATATGTGCATGACATCCTTGGCTAATTCTGTTGCTGTTTTATTCTTGTAAACTTCCATTATTTATTTCCAGGAGATAAATAGGCAGATTGTTAGGCTTTGCTGTTGGGGTGCTTGCTGGCTTAGTCAGCTTCTCAGTAGAAGTGTTTTGCATTTGGAGGAAAACAAGATGGTAGAAAAAGAAATGCTGGAATACTTGTAAAAGGTGATTCTAGAAGATTAGGACTGTATATTGGTATCTGCCTCAGTATTTTGAGGGTTGTGTTGAAATGTTTTCTTTTCTAGGAAGAAGCTCGGAAACATTTTAATTGTCCAATTTTAGAGGGAATGGAGCTTGAAAATCAAGGTGGCATGGGTACTGAGCTCAATCACTGGGAGAAGAGACTGTTGGAGGTTAGTGCTGGTACTAGGAATGGAGGGGGATGTGTGCATATCTACTCCCCTGCCTTTGTTTTTAGGCTTATAGTGGTACCTACTGGAGCCTTGAAAATGCAGGTGTATCAAACCTCACTGAAATATATCACAAACAGTACTAAACTACAAATACTTAAATGTCCAATTCCTAGATAAATCTTTTTTTGCCTTAGTGCTAAGTCTCAGAGTACGAGTTTGAGATAAGCTGATTACTAAAAAACTCGATGTCTCTTAATTTTGTCTGCCATTTACCCTTTTGAGAAGGTATGCTGCCCTCTTTAGGAGAAAGGGCATATTTCTTTGAGTCAATTCAACTTTATTGCCATCTGCCTACATCAAATATTTGATCATTCTGTCTAGTCATTATCTTGACTTTATCTGTAGTTTTGTGCACTGTGGTCAGCTTTTGCTATCCCTGTTCCAGAACCTCATCTGATCAAGGAACCACTTATTTTCCTCCTGACATTTAAGCTTATTTTTATTTATAACTTTACATTGCGTGGTATTTTGGGCAGAGATACACTTTGTAGTTGTTATTGTATGCAGTGAGCTAAACAGGAAGGGAAGTGCTTCAGGACAGATGTTTTTGTGGAAGTAATCTTGAAAAATGCTTTTTTCTTGAGACTGTAATTGTTAGCTTTTCCTGCTTTTCAGTAACCTTTGGTGTGGATCAGTTTAAAGCCAACTGGAAGGACTGCTATTAGAATGAGGGTAATTCTAAGGACTGAATAGGATTAGCAAAAAGGAGATAATTACTAGTCTCCTTATGCCTTTCCAGAGAAAGTTTGTATCTGGAAAGTAACCCATATAGTTTGTTTTTGGTCGTGATCCAGCTCTCATTAAGTGTTGTAGAGACTTTTGCTGTGAGCCTGAAGTTTATCAGATGGAAATGACTGAGCAGGAAAAAGACAGGGGTGTTACAACTGCCAGTTATAAGACGATTAGGAAACTCCAAGGTGACTGGAGTTGCTCTTTTGAGGCTGGTGTGAACTTGCTTCTTTTTAAAGGAGATGGAAAATTCCCCTGCCACGCTAATAAAGCTTCCTTTGGAGTGCTGTGTTCCTGTATCCTGTGCACCTCACTCCTGAAAAGGACTGCTAGAAATTCTAGGAAAACTAAAAATCAGTCTGGTGCAAGAAAATTGAAGTAAGCTTGGCTCTCATTTTACCAAACGCAGACAGAAGATGTGGTGTGATTGCTACTGAGTAATACACTAGAAGAAGGAAGGGGTTTATTTTACCTAAAGAAAAACGAGTACACGTTGGTCATAAGTAAGGAAGGTTTAGCTGGAATTTGGAATGAGGTTTCTGACTTCTAGAATTCTGAAGCTTTGTAGGGTGGAGTGGGGAAGCGAGTTGCAGTTTTGATCCCTTTTATGAAAGAGATTGGGATTTGATTGTCAATGGTCAGAAGAGACCAGAAATAAAATGTTTTTTTTCATAGGAAGCATTTTTTAACAACAATGGTTTTCAGCAACTTGCTAATAGTGTTGATTGTCAATGGTCAGAAGAGACCAGTAATAAAATGTTTTTTTCATAGGAAGCATTTTTTTACAACAATGGTTTTCAGCAACTTGCTAATAGTACCTGTTAACTTTCAGAATGAAGCTATGACTGGATCTCATACACAGAATCGAGTCTTTTCCAGGATCACATTAGCATTAATGGAAGACACAGGGTAAGAATTAATAAGAATGGTGGGGGGGGTTCGTTCATTTGTGTTTGGTTTTCATTGTATTTGATTTTATTTGGAATTGGTGCATTTGTGCTTACCCATCTGCCACACAGTAGATAACTGTCATAACTAGCATTATATTAGACAAGGAATTATACCTAGTATATTAATTTTTCTTCACGTATTTCAAAACCCATTCTAGCCTTAAGAAAGCCATGCTTTGCAGTGCCTACTACTGTTTGTAGTGCCTGTTTACTTTTTTCTTAATACGTCTTCTCTCAGTTGCATGCGGTATGTATTGATTATTTTTTCAGTTCTTCTTGCAGACAGAAAGCATAAATTGTCTACAACTTCATCTTTCTGTATGCAGTGTTCCTTTGCAGATCACGATGCATTGCTATTGAGTAAATAAGCGATAAAATTTTCTTTTAGTTCACTGCAACTTGAAAAACAGTGAAATTGTAATATATTTTGTTCTAGGCAGAAAGGGATGCAGTTTCCCTGTGTATTCATTTGAAGAACCTAAGGCATAGTATGAAGCTCTTTGAACTGCTGTCTTATTAATCAGAACACTTAATTTTTGAAGTAACTCTATTCTCATTTCAAAATACTTTTACAGCTGGTATAAAGCAAATTACAGCATGGCAGAGAAGTTAGATTGGGGACGCAATAAAGGCTGTGACTTTGTAATGAAGAGCTGTAAATTCTGGATCGACCAAAAGAGGCAAAAGTAAGAATACAATCTTTTTTTAAAAAAAATAGAGGAAACACTGATGCTTGTTTACGTTTGTCCTTCAAATGCAACTTGGTAAAAAGAAGTAGAGGTAGCTACAGATTAACAAGGAGTGCTGTCTGAAGTACCTTCAGAACGTGCCTAGGAACGAGCACTCCAGATGTATTAAGAGCAGAAGCATCCCACCCAATAAATACAGAGCCAAACATCTTAGGGTGTAGAATGCCCTTAGAGTAGAAGAGGGCTGTGCTTTGGAGAGGAGGCACAAAATAAGAAGGCAAACACTTTTAGATTTTGTCCCTTTTGGTTGGAAATGCAGCCTGTGTCATTTTGTGTGACTGGGTTGTACTTAAAGCAACAGGAGGAGACGATAGACGTGTTCAAGACAAAGCCCTCCTTGGTTGGTGGTTACAGTACTTGTTGCAGGGGACAGCTGCAGCGTTGGCCTGTTTTGCTTCTGTGTTTTTTTTCTTTAAAGTTTACAAAGCACTGTCATTAAAACCAAATAGTGAGTGCATTTTCACTTTGCTGGCTTGATATTCTTTGAATTAGAAAGGTCGTAACCAGACAAATAACAATAATCACCCTCCAGAGGAGAAGTTGGTGCTTCTTTGTGTGATTGACCGAGTGTGGGGAAGCGTGGGAACAGACAGTCTTGACAGATTGCTTAGTAAATTATGAAAAGCAGTTAAAGTGATCTAATGTGATTTTTATTCTTTTTTTTTTTCTTTGAGGAGGCAATTAATCAGTCCATACTGTGACACTTTGAGGAGTAATCCTTTGCAGTTAACCTGCAGACAGGACCAAAGAGCAGTAGCAGTGTGCAACTTGCAGAAGTTTCCAAAGCAGTTACCTCAGGAATATCAGGTATAATGGTTCTTACTTTACCAAATAACTTAAGTGTTTTCATTCTCGTGCTTTGCAGCCAGGTGATTGTATTTGTTTCATTTTTTTTTCTTCTGAACTAGTAGATGAGAAGTAGCTATTGTGGAAAATCTCTGCTTAGTTTATTACAAGGAGTCTGGAGGCTGAAAAAAAAGCCTCATGATCTTAATAAAACAGTATTGCTTGGCCATCTAACCAAATACCGGATGGAAACGTTTCTCTGTAACAGAAGTGCCCCAGAATATTTTGTATGAGGTGTTTCTTCACCCTGTCTGCTGCCTTGTGTCGCTGCACACTAAGAAATTTGTTCTGTTTCATCCCAGAGAATGCTATGATTGAAAAGGAGGGGAAGGAGTGGGGTGTGATATGTGCAAATGTGACTCTTACTGCATTATTTAAGTGTTTTTAAATACTTCTGGCTCCTCTGGTTCAAGCGTGACGCTTACTGCATTATTTAAGTGTTTTTTAAATACTTCTGGCTCCTCTGGTTCAAGAGTATTGTAAGTTGCTGTTAATAGCATTCCTGAGTAGTAATAGCTGATGTTCTTACAGCTGTACTGATTGGTTCTGTTTAAAAAAAACAGTTGTGCACCTGCCTTTGCACAAACTGCTTTACTACCTGTTTTGTTTTGCAGTATTTTGACG